GGCTGAGGCGGAAGGATCGCCGGAGCCCAGCAGGTCAAGGCTGCGGTGGCCAGGAGCATGACACTGCACTCCAGTCTGGGTGACAGAGTGAGACTTCAACTCAAAAAAAAAAAAAGTCTCCTCTGTTCTATGGGCACCATAACAATATCCTTCACTTAGCAGCCAGACTCTCTCAGCACAATCAGGAATTGGAATCATTGCAATCCAAAACACCTATCCCAATCTGCCTCATGCTTTCTCTTGAAACCTGCTATAAAAGGTGGGGCTGAGATTTCTTAACAAGGGCACATTGTATCTTCTTTATTCCTGTGCAAATCTAAATGTCAAGATGGCAGGATTAAGTGCCATCTCTATGATGCCAAGACAGTGCAAATAGGGGCAAAACTACAGCTGGTCATCATGCATACCAGAGAGAGAAAGCAAAGAGGAAGAAGAGGGAGGATGAGGGAGAAGGAACAGACTGCATTCTTTCCTTTGAACCCAGTTGTGCTTGCAACGAGCAGGCAACTTGGGCAGCCATTTGGCACTAGGTGTCAAGGGCCCATAAACACACCTATTCTTTCAAGGGTTCACCAGGGAGTACTTGATTCCTATTTATCACAAGACTCCCAGGGCCTGGCGTATACTGAAACAATTTCAAAAATCTTTCATTTTAAAAGCTTCTACTTAGAAAAATCCATCCACAGCCACTAAAAAGAAACCATTGAGAGCACAAAACAAATAATGAGCTTTGTCGCTACACAAAGACTTTTACAAATCTGACCTAAATGAAAAGCATACCTCATGCTGTCAGGTGTCTGCACTCATGTCATTTGTTTAAGTAAACACAATAGCCTATTCATACGAATTAGCTAAATATTAATACAGCCACTCTTTCAGATAGCATCAATTACTGCTGAGCTGAGCCTTTGGCATGTCTTTTCTTTTTTATATAGAAGAAATAAACAGATATGTGCTTACCTACCATTAGTCATAATTTTATGCTCACTAAAAACATCAAGAAGTGGGAATTAGCTTAAGGAACTTGGAATGTTGTTCTTTCCTGCGCTCACTAGGCTAAGCCTTTGGTGAGGCTGCAAGGGCACAGGGATCACCACCCCAGACCATGAGCGCCTGCACAGCTCTGACCTGAGGCAACAGCACACTGGCAACCCACACCTTTGTCTTGGTGCCTCAGGAATGATTAAAGAAGGAGGGTGAAAAAATCCTGCTGGAATTTCTGGCAGGTAGCCACTTCCCTGGGGTGAAATTTCAATCATCACGGCTACACCTATAAAATGTACTCGTGCAAAACAGATACACAACCACGCGGCAGGGGATGGTCACAGTGCTTCTCATCTAAGTTCCTGAGATCCGAAGCATGTGGGGGCACCAGAAAACATATCAACAACACTCTGCCTGGGCTCCCGTTTGGCTAATCTGCTCTGCTCTGGTGAGTGCAAACATCACACAGATGCAACAGCCTCACTTGAAGATGTCAAGTTCAATAATATATTTAATAAAGGAGGGGAGGGATATTTTATATTCTACAGTGGCTCTTCCTGAAATAAACTAGCTTTATGTGAAACTTGAAGAAATGTGGAAGATCTGAAAAAATAATAATACTGTGAGAACAGCCCTACTGGGTTTCCTTCACCAGCAGCTCCACACCCTCTGTCTTCCCTGCCATATTTTACAGTCTCAACACATGGAAATGCCAGGGTCTCTGAAAAACTGCAATGCAGCTGGAGAGAGACATGGTCCAAACCCCTCAGACAAGCTCCTCTATATAAGGAGGCCTCTTTCACTCTAAAGCTCATTAACAACTTTCATTTGGAAAAGGAACTGGCTTACCAGATAAAGACCTACAAAAGCAAAGATGGTCCTTGTTCATAGTAGATGCCCAATATGGATGTTTACTCAACAACCTAATTTAAGATGAATCTGCAAGCCAAGGACACATCAGATTGTTTGAACTTCATGTACCTTCCTTGACATAATCTTAGGGGTATATGAAGAGTAGGTTTAAAGTCACTTAATAAATACAGAGAGAACTGTGGTTTAAACCTTCCATGGCATAAAAAAATGAATTATACTAAATCACCTGTAAACAAACTGACCAAAATGATAGGTATGGTCCCTGCTGTTCTGACATTCTTTGATCTTCTGATATGACATGTAGCACAAGAGTGATGTTCTTAGTCATTAAATACTGATAATGAGCAGATTAAAGGAATAGTAAAACCTAGCCACAATCAGCCAGTCAAATCCCATCAGAGTATAGTATTCCTACTAATGATCATTTCTACACTGGAACAGTTATTGCCAATTAGAGATAATATTAAGTAGAACTTCAACAAAGGAAGTCCCTTAAGATGTGGCAGGTTTAATTAAGAGAGATTTACAACCCCACAGAAACTTCCCTCAAAGTACTCCAACACAGCCTTTCTTTACAACCACCATCCCACAGTGAAGATGCAACACTCTTTCTCTGGGCCACTTCATGACTGACATGTGCTTCCAACATCAGGATGTCTCTGTACTGAAAAATAATTCTTTTGATGTCTGATGACCAACAAGCACCTAAAGGGCATAGCTGGAGTAGTCTTCAGCTTGAAGCAGGCACTCAAGTGTTTACTGGATGGATGGATGGATGGATGGATGGATGGATGGATGGACGGACGGACGGATGGATGACTGCTAAAAGCTTTAGCTATAAAATGAAGGAGTTGCTCCGAGAAGGTCCCTCCCAGTTCTAGCATTCTTTCCAAGTAACTATATGCTAGGCAGATATTGATTCTGTCAACAAATGGTAGGATTATAGAATTTCTTTTAACCTTGCAATTTAAACTTAATGAGAAGCTACCCACTGCTTGAGCCTACTACCACAGCAACTCTTGCATATCCCACTACTGACATCTAAGGTTTATAACCTACTTTCTCTCTGGAACCAAAAAGAGAGATCACAGCCCAATGATTTAAAGGAAAAACATGGAGTCATATTACAAGGCTGTACCAAGAGAGACCTTGGTGACCATCTGGCTCAACGGCTGACGTGATCAATGTCATCCAGAAAGGCTAAGTGATTTGATCAAGGTCACACAGCCAAAGGCCGGGCTGAGGCTAGACCTGTCTCCAGCTCCCTGAGCAGTGCTCTTCAACCACTCCAGCCTGCCCTTTGAACTCTCCCATGGTCATTAAGTCAAAAGTTCAAGATTTATGTGAGCAGAGGACGCTGATGACTGCCAACTGTATTTTTATTGATGCAAAATTTTTTTTGAAACACAGCCTGTTTCAGCTCCTAGATTAAGTCTCACAAACTCCCCCAAAGCCCCACTAAGGCCTCTATCTCAAGCCTATAATTAGGCTTTTAAAAATATCACTAATCAGGATATTTGAATGCTTTGACCCATGACAGGAGAAGAATGTCTCTGAGAACGCCCCACTATCCCTGCAGTAGCCTGCATTCATCTATTTTCAG